TCGAATAAAAAATAACTAAAAAAGTAGTAATCAAAGTATTGAGTGACTTAAAACTAATATCACGGTAAATGAGTAAAATATTATGAGTTAAGCTCAGTTACACGGTAATATTGGGTAGTAGTAATCTCAGTTAGTTACAGACGTTAGATATAAACAAAAGATGACACAACTAAATAAGAATGGGGGGAAAAACATCTAGGATCGATAGGGGATGACGTAATCAAATAAAAGTCAGGAACAGATTGCGCAAGTAGATGGAGGTCGACAATAGTCTCTTTTTGAAGACAAGGCAGGTTTGAGGTGGTTGATGGCTACGGTCTCAGCAAACATCAATAGAATTGAGGTTGTTTGTTTGCTTAATATGCTGAAGGAACTGAAGATATCTGCTTAATGTCCAGAGTCAATGAGACGCCGAGTGATTGCATTGTCCAGTGTTGCTACCTCTTAGTCGTTAACTCTTCCGAATGCAGTGTTATGGCTTGTATTAACCTATCGTTCAGTAAACCGAGTTGATCGATCTCTATTAGCTTATGGGCTCCAGCACGAATGCCTCGATAATCCCTGCGTTTGAATTATATATTAATAGTGGACAATGGCTAGGAGTGGAATCCAGGACGCGCGTTTCGTCTTGTTTGGGACTCGTCAGCTGCACGTGTCTGCTTCCCAATGAGTGAGGTTGTTCCCACTAGGATTCGAACTTGGACCGACAGCTTCAAACGCTAGAGCTTTATTCACAAGCAACAACATCAAAACCATGCTCTTCGCACAAGAAGTGGCTGTCGCGATTCGGTAGTCCAATGGGATAAGACCCTGGGGTTTGAAGCGACCGGTTCCGTGTTCTAGTGGGAACAACATCGCTCACTGGTAGGCAAGTAAACCCGGCTGATGAGTCATAAATAAGGCGAAACATGAGTCCTAAATTCCACTCGTAGCCACTATTCGCCACTAATGTATATTTCGGAATGCAATCAGAAAATTCAAGATAAACTCTTCTTTCTGTTCTCCTAATGTGTCTGCTTCGGCAACCAAAGTTGGAGGTAACATTATAAGGGTATCTGTTGACTTCTGACATGACTAAAAAGCATACTGTTTGGTACATAGTAATCAACCTGTTCGTCAAGAAAGTTGTAGCCAGCGGTGTTTCCATTCATCTGCTAATAACTCTGTGACTAATTCAGTCAGTATTAATCACTGATCGATACTATGTTTTCTTTCAACGAATTGAAGTGTGTTAAGCTCAGTAAAACTGTATACTTTGTTATTCTAGGTTGTAAACAGTTGACAAAATACCAATGAAATGTACACAACAAGATTACATGTTATCCTTGTTTCTCAGGTGTAATAATTCAGCTGCTTTTATCTATTTATACATAAGAATGTTTAATTTACTGTGTTACAAGTATTTAAAGAGACTTCATCACCATTTCACTGAGTAGTCTATGAAGCTTAGCTCATAGTAGTTACAAGCATAAATATTCGTTTTCAGTTTGGTATTCATCATAAACTGAGATCGGTTGGAGAACCTTTGAAAACCCATGAACACTGAACAGGTGTTTCTGCCTAGTATATTACCTCTCAGCAGTGAGCATACATGACTCCACCATAGGTCTAACCAAAAGTATTCAGCTTCCATGGTCAGCATGTCACTGTTCAGTCACTGTTTCGGAAATTTTCTTACTTCTCTCAATTCGCAATATAGTAAGACCTCCATCCAATGTAATCTTTGAATATTTGTCCCCACGTTTGACTCGGTTTGCCTCCCCGGTCAGGACTTCATATTAGAACTTCGGGAAATCTTATCTGCAAGCAATTCACTAGTGAGCACTGGACAGCAATTCACTTTGAAGGTTCGCAGCGACTTATCGACTTCATATCGGTATGCACTATGGAATGACATCAGATGCGGAACCGGTAAAAACTTGGGAGCGCTGGACAGCTGAGTAGTCTCATACTAGGACTTCACATTTATTCTATGAAATTTAAGCGACATTATTTCCCACTAAATATTGTAGTTGCTGTCAGTCAGAACCAACTCGGGACCTGGAATTATTGCGTAACTGCCCAAGGTGCTATATTCTATGCCAGCACATCATCGTACAAGATGCCAAGATGAAATACATAGAAATGAAGAAGAAAGTACATAAAAATGATAGTAAGTTGTGAAAATAAGACAAGGAAATAATCAAGATTTAGAAAAGTTAACTTTAAAATGAAAGCTAACACGGTTCTAAAGGAGGCATACTGATGGGAGATGAAAATCGGTTCTCTTTCTGCAAGTGTTTACTGAAAACCAAAAATTAGTAGACTAGTTCTTCTGTTGTGACTGATATTATATCCACCTGAAGTGGCATCATTAAATTTGGCGAAGAAGTTGCACTTACATTTCAAAAACCACCTTTCAAAGACGGTGAATACTAAGTAATTTCAATGAATTATTCTTAATCTGTTCGTAATCATTGAAAATGGTGTGCGTGGTCTCCTTCAGTACATATAATTCACACCTAGCTTCAAATGACAGAAGTTTTTCCTGAGGATAATAAAAATCTTTGAAGATTTGCATAATTCAAAGTTTGAAGCGTAGTGGTAATCAGTTTACTTCTTGAAATCTGCTCTCATCTCAGTGAACCTAAGGTATCTTAATACTATAGGTGGAGACTAGCTTGTTTAGCGAATCGTTAACAAAGCAATTACCATTACCAGCTGTTCTTATTTTGTGACCGAAGGCTGGGTCTACTACTTTGTTGAAACCTTAGTAATTATAATGAAAGGTGAAACCGAATATGGATCGTGCATCAAAATTTATGGTAAGTTTTTCAATGACAGACAAAAGAATATCATAAAATTTCAATTTTCAATATTTCATACACAGGAGTTTTAATGGGCTTTTGTGGGTCTAGGTGTGCAAAAAAAACATACCAACGCCGAATTTCACATCGAAAAGCAATACCTGAATGTCCAACAAGGATTTAAGTGGTTGAAAGACGAATGTTTTTGAAGTTTAGGTAAAGATAACCTTCACAGAGTTTACTGGAAGTAGTCGTCTGTTTAGGTCTGTCACAGATAGCTTTTTAGTGAGATCGATAAAGGTTTTTATGGGAAAAACTGGCGGTCAACCAACTTTTTCTGTCTTTAACTAATGATGTGGTGTTGAATTAAAAAAACAGACACTATAAAATACTTTGCGGAATCTGGAATGTCTAGTAATGAACAAAAGCTGACATCCTACACAGAAACACTTGAAAATATTCTCAACAGCCCTTCAGATCGATAGATTGTGACGTCGGAACGTCCAAGTGATCTATGCATGAAGATTTTTAAACAGAAAGCACGATTCGTCATTCATGTTTTAGCATACAGAAGACAACAGCCACAAATATGACCAGATATGAGAGAATATCAAGGTGTCATAGCAAGTGAAGTCAAAACTTTGAGGGAAATGCTGAAAGTCAAACCAACCTAAACGTAGGTATCCGGCCGATTGGTTGTTATCTTGGCAGCGATTGAAAGCCGAATGAAAATCCACCCAGTAACACGATGTATTTAAAGGAAAAATGAGATCACCTATGATCAGTGAAGTAGTCTTTATGTTCAACTTAATAACTATCGAGATCAGTAAAAATATCGCAAGTTACACGTGCCTAATTTCTACTTCATTACTAAACTGATATGATTATTTTAACCATTAACAAGTATCTCAGCTCAAAGAACTTTAATTCATTACCATACTATGATGAAATGATGTTATATAAAGCTTATAAATAGTACATCTCTAGTTAAATACCTAAATTTGTTTATTTGATTTATAATACACAGTGATATTGTATTATTTACTTGATGATATTTCGAGCATAAATTATTGCTCATAACAATATCAAAGTAATCAGACACCTTTCGACATTTGATTTATATAGTTCTGGCGCCCGACATTATTTTTATTGGTAGTAAAATTTTCCATATCTCTGGTATAGGTATTGCATCATTTCTATCACATGTGTTGCGTGTTGATTCCATGCACAAAAACTCAGTAATCAATCTCTCCCCACACAGCTAATTATATTGGACTTGAGTACAGTAGTTTCGCCCCACCCTATCGTATGATTGTGTGTTATTGCATGTGTTACAATATAACCAAGTTCTCTTCTAGCTTATTGATTCTACCGAAGTCTGTTATTTTATATTTAGCTAAATTCCTGTGTTCGGCTATTCTAACTGACCCCTAACTGGCTAGTTCGACCTATGTGCTTGACCTCACAGTCATTACATGGAATTCTATAGATTAGATTATTTTGCCGAATTGGTTCTATCCGATCCTTAAGCCGACAAAGCTTATCTGTAAGTGAGTTTGTAGGTTTAAATGCCACCTTAATTCTAGCTTTGTTGAGGATCCTACGCAAAGTTTCTGATGTACTTTTCTTATAGGGTTACAAAATGGAGGCTGTGGAGTTCTTTCTACTTGTGTTGTCATTATTGCTCGTACTCGTGTTACTGTTGTTTTTTCGTTTCTTACGTGTTCGTATAAATTTTTTGATAAACTGAGGAGGATAATTATTAACTACTAGTACTTCTTTCAAGTGTTTCAATTCCTTGTTTAGGTCCTTATACTGACTAGTCATTTTTCTGGCTTTATGACAGACATTTGACTAAGTCAGCCTTAACTGACATCGGATAGTCTAGGTTCTTGTTGGAATGTGTCAGTTTTATGTTAACGGTCCCTCGTTCTATCCTGCAATCCAATATAGGTAATTCTCCTCGTTTATTTTCTACCTCATGAGTGAAATGGATTGCGCCTACCACTGAGTTTTACGTATGTGAGAAAATTGTCGATATGTTCCGATTTCAACACAGTAAATGTGTCATTCACATATCACTACCGTTTTTTTGGTGCAGGACTAGACGTATGTAAAGCCATGGTTTCCCAACTATCCATATATACACATGAATTTTAGTCAGAAATGCATTATGTTGAAATGCAACGATACAAATGTTTTCTTTAATGACAGGTATTGGATCGTCAAGTTGCAGTCCACGTCTCCCCTGCGTTAAAGATGACTATACAAGTTACTGGACACCATGTGATAAAGAACAGATGGTAGGATATACTACTTTTACTAATTCACTCTTCATTTCTCTTTACTTGTTTCTCAGTAATATTAATGTGTCAAGTAAATTAAAACTGATAGATATCAGGACTTTATTCAAGTAGTATAATTTGTATTTCCAAGCATGTACTGAAAGTTGCGAATCATTCAGACATGCAGAAAGTTAGCTGAAAAAGTTCACATTCATAATACAGACTTGTAACAGAATCCATCATTTATTTCAGAAAGAACGTTTGTTGATTGAAATTTGTTAGTAGCAAATGATGATAAACATTTCGGTGAGTGAATTTCAGTGAAATGCTCTAAAAATATAAAGTTTACTGAGAAATATCTATGAATCTTGAGTCGAATTTTTATTACAATCATTGAATCGAAGAATAAACGAATACCGTTTATAGTTCATTGTTACTTGTCTAGACTAGTCTAGACTATGAAATAATGAATATTTGGGCCTTATAGAGTCATCTGCAAAGGAGCTCATCTGACAGCAGAGTGTGAGCAATCCTACCCTGTATAGCAACGTGAGATGACATGTATCAATGAACAGCAACTGAAACCCTTTGCACAAGAGGTGGCTGTCGCATCCCGGTGGCCTAGTTGATAACACCCTGGTGTTTGAAGTGATGGGTAGTTGGTTCGAGTCTCAGTGGAAACAAAAATACTCACTGAGAGGCAGATACATCCAGCTGGGGAGTACCGAACAGAAGGCAACGCAGGTCCTGGATTCCACTGTCAACCACCAGGCAGACATTAACATAAAGCGTGCCATTTAGGCTACCAGAAATTAGCCCTCATTGCTGGCCTCTTCAATTTGTCAGGAAAATTCAATCTTAAAACCTAACAGTGTCATTTATCATCAAAGTGTCACTTTAATTTACTACGCAATGGTTAATTTGGCCCCATCTCACATAAGCTTTTCAAAGAAACAGAGCGAAAGATAAGTAAATGAGAACAATTTGACCGAATTACAGAAATTCATAAAAACAACGCAAAGAAAAAAGTTAAATAACGGAATATGATTTAATGGCTAAGATAACCATGGAAGGCTGTTTAAACCTTGGGCTGCCGAAAAGTTTTCCACCGAATCATCAAATTCTTCCCCTTCTATTTGTTGTAATCTTTTAAATGCGTCTTGCAGTCTTGGACACTTTTAAAATGGTTCCAAACTGTCGGTTTTTCAGCTAACAACATAACAAAGAATAAACAATACGCCGGTAAAATATGAGCTTGTAGATGAACAGAAATACAGTATATTATTCCTTGAATATGATGTAGTTAGCCAACTAATCAGAAGAGAAGAGGAGAACCTCAGTTAACAATTCTATCACAAAGTTAAAGAAGTTAAACATATCGATCCGCATAGATTTCACATCTGATAACTCACCGTAAGATCTAACAAGACCACGTATGTTGAGAAATAAAGCCTTCGGGAGAGTAGCTTATAGCTTAGGAGTTAAATTCGACTTCGGAACTGAGGGACACGGGTTCAAATAACTGGGTAAATCTACTTCCCTCACTGTTGCAGACACACCTTGTTGATGAGTAAAAACAGGCTCAAAACCTAGGGCCAAGGCTCTCTGCTGACCTACTCCCTTCAGCTAACATGTATGGGGTAATATGTATTTCAGACATCCATTTTAATGATGAAAACTGCCCTAAGATCACTTGACTGATCTATTTTAATTTTTCCTTTGGTTCAGGAAGCAGAATTTGTGTTCAACGTTAATACGTATGTCTATGTTGTGGGATCTGGCGGACGGTGAAAATTTAATGAATACTGACACTGACAAAAACGGCGCAGAACCTAGTGCACAGATGCATTTAGCTCTAGTTGCCACACTTCACAGTAGTACACAAAGAACAGGTGAATAAAAAAGACTGACGACAAGGAAGTAGAGTAGTGTGAGAGAATAAACAGTCTGCAGATAACAGTTAGTGAGAACATTCACGCTTTAGATGATTTCAAGGACTGAATACGTTGGGACCATGGTGATCAATTTTCAGTCATGTCACTTACAGTTCCTAACTACTGATTCCTTTTGGCTCGGGGACCCTGGCCAACTAGACTTTATCTCTTAACCCTGCTAAGACCAACTTTAAGAGACTTCATCGACCGGTGACTGGTCTTGGTTTAGCCACTCAGAACCTTCTTCCAACCTAATTCAACTTCCCTTAGCATGAGATGTCGAGGTAGGCAGTGGGTCGCCATACACAGTGCATGTCTAAGCCATCTGACTCGACTAAGGTTTACAATCTCATCAATCGACTTCCATGTCTTGCCTAGTACCCTTGGCTGTATTGATTTAGTTAGTGCGCCATGCTTAGGTCTGAAACCTCGTTTGTGTTTTCAAGTTTACAGTTTCTGAGTCTTAGTTAGGTTTCAGGTTATCATAGAATCTAGAATCTTGAGCATTATGCCGATTGTTATATGGCTGTCAGAAAGGGAGAATCTAACCTTTCTTTGAGAACGTGAAAATCAGCTATTTAGACCAATAATTGAGACAACTGTGTGATTCCGGTACTCTAATCAATACCCCAGTCAGTTTATTAAATAATCTTGGGCCATCGTTCTTAAATACATCTGGAACTAGTCAGCTGTAGGCTGACTTCTTGATCCCTGAGAATATTACAGCCCCCAAGTCAATGTTCCATCTAGGTTGAGGCTAGGCAGAGGGAAACCACAGTAAGTGAAGTTCAGTTGAAGTGCTCTTTTAGGCATTATAATCACCGTCCTGGTTTTCATCTTTATTAATGAATCAGAGACCTAGCATTTCTTCTCATAGTCCACGGCTATCCACATTTTTATTCTCTCTTCTCAGGTATATACAAGCAACTGTTTACTATTCCTTACTAACTCTGTCATTTTCATCACTTGGTCTCCACCAACTATCCCTGCTCATTGTCGCTGGAGAGACACTTTTTGGGTCTGCAACAGTTGCTTTCTCCTCTTTTCTTGTCTAAAATTTGCGTTAGTTAGGAGCAACTGGTCGTCTAAACACACTTGCGTCAATTGATTTCTATTACCGACCCGTTTAATTAGGAACTAGAAACTTTCACTTGAATGACTTTCTGCCCGGCTTAGCCTCCCTTCTCGTGCGTAAAAGTCGCTCTCTTTAGTGACCAAATCTTGTCTTTTGGTTTTTATTAGGAATGCAGACAGTCTTAGGTGAAACTAATCTCAGGTTTCATCTATTTTGCATCCAGTGAGTGCGTACGTGCAGATTAGAAGGATAATGTGCATCACTATCTTGCCTGTTTTTCACTATGCACTTGAATTGAACAGCGTATCCAGTAAAGCAATATGCTTTCTGCCTACGATTTAATGTTATATCTATACACTCAAGACTGGGAAAACTAGTTAAGGAATCTTTGAATGCTTAGAGTACTAAGTTTTTAGACTCACCATATTTTCCAGATGAGATCAATTGAATGACTATATTTGGATTATGTATGAATATCTCACAAATATGAGGTACACTTTCAGCCGAAGAGGCCAAAATTTTGGACATCAAAGCTTTTTATTCTAATTGAAGTAGGATGAAAAATTGAAGAATCCTATATGAAGTCGTTTTGGAGACCATGGATGATATTCTGCGTGTTGAAAACTTTATTATAGAGTACAAAGCTAGAAAAAGTTAAATACGGATCGGAGTCATTAACAGAATAATCTGGAGGTAATTTGGAAGACAATGAGATCGTATTTTGTTGGCGTTTAAGAATTTCAGCTGTAGTAGTGGTATGAAGGGTGGTCAACACTATCTGAGTGCATACACCATGGAGGGTCAATTCTTTTTAAGTACTGGGAAAAATTTGGATTAGAAGGGGTACTCTAATCGACCACAGAACCTAAGAGGCTGGTTTTATGTGGCATTAGCCTACGTTTCGGATTTAGATTCAATAGTGCTGCATTCTTAATCAGAACAGGTCTGCAACATCAAAAAATATTTACTTTGTGTCTTTCTCTCCTCCATAAAATAAGGCTGTATGAGCTTGGAACGCTGATTATCCTTAGGAAACAAATTAATATCATCACACTTCATTTGGGTAGCGGTAAAACCTAGTCATTAAACCTTCACAAGAGCGTAAGCTCTTTAAAATATGGCAGCAGTTGCTTCTAGCCTTAATAAAACCCACTAGACCTTTCTGGCATAATAGGAAACAAAGGCACAATCTCTCTAGATCATTACCATGGGCAACCGTGACTACCTTTTCAAAGTACTAGCTGTTGGTCAGTCATACGATAGCTAGTCGAATTTCGTTGAACAAATTTTCATTGCTAGCACTAAGTCTAGTAGTGTAACACTGTGGTGAATCAAGTTCAACGTTCACTGCTGATAACCGGTCAGAAGGATGCTGTGTCTGTGGTATTTTAGATCAGGAAACATTAGCTACTAGTTTATTATCGTGAGATAGCCTAATACATTTGTTTAAAACTCTGGAACTTCACTCATTTCGACACTTAAAGAAAAAAAAATCTTTTTTTGGGAAAAAATGATGCACTCCATTTTTATCTCCACATGTCTTTGTCTTTGCTGGTTATTCGAATGTATGCTGAAACTGTGGTTGATCAACAGTTGCAACAGAATGTCACTAAAAAGGGTACTCATTCCCCCTGCTTCAAATATTTAATTCAATCCCTCTACTTCTCCACTACTCTTGAACACTAATCCATTCATCAGATAACATAGAAGCAGCATAAAGTGTATTTTTTGTCATCTTGAACGTGTGGAAACCCATAGATACTTTGACTTATAAGCAAGATTCCTTAGCCAGAATTCCATTACTTTTGTTTTTTTCACTGCAGGAGCATGAGACTTTTTTGTCTGCTTCCGTAGGAATGATGTTTTCACCAAGATCTAGTGTATAAACCTGAAACCTTGGTGTCAGATTCATATTTTTGAAAAGATTTTCTGTCGAAGACTGAAAGCATGGATTTTATCTATTCACTCAAGGGTTTTCTATGTCAGGTGAAGACAGGAGTAAGACAAGG